TCCGCTGCATCCCTCGCTGCCGTATGGAGCTTCAGGCAACCCCTGGAATCGGCAATATCAAACGCTCAATCAATGCTACGTATCAGCACACGTACTTCCCCAACAGTCTCAGCACTGCTGCTTGGACCTGGACTAGCGAGCGTGACATCGATCGAACATTCAGAGCACAAGACAACAACATTAGAGTCAACACAGTAAGTACGACGCGGTTTGAGAGACACTAGATGAAAGGTGACGCCAGAAGGATGCAGATAATGAAGGAGAGATGGTACAAAGAGAGACGAGGCAGCCGCAGGGGTATCAGACTATCATTGGTAGTCCAACTGGAAGAGGGTAAAGTTTCCAGTACGCAGTAAAGAGGAGACCGGATCGTACTAAGACACAGCATGCATTGCCATATCGTTCGGATAGGATTGTCACCGTACGAGGTACTAAGCTCTCTGCAGCCTAACAACGAGCGACACGTGGTGTTATTTGGGGGTTGTGTTGTGAGATATTGATTTGGTATACTGACTGGTAAGACTCCTTCAGAATTTCCACTTAAGCTCAGGGCTTGTGTCCATATCCGTCCGTATCGTTGCCACCCCTTGCAAAGACATGCTGCCACAAGTTCTGATACTTCCGCTTCCTCAAGCCTTGGTCTTGCTCAGCGCTGCTTACGCAGCTGCAGCATCCTCTGCTGACAGACGCTTCGTTGGTCTCGCCAATCACCCTAGCATGGCGCTGGAGTCTATCGACAAAAACATCGTTAGGTCGCCACTTTCTTTGCGGAGGCCTTAGCTCAAAGTAGGCTGACCTCCAAGCAAATGCCTCAAACTCGGACGGAGGATAGTAGATGAAGCTCTCGTTGACCTTACGTTCTCCCCTAACAGCACGAAGGTTCTCAAGGGCGAGAGCATAGAGAAGCCAAGCTCGGCAGAGAATGATGCAGAAGTTAGGAACACAAGCATGTGAGATCACGCATGACACGCGACGAAACTACGCTGCTCAAGTACACAAGACGTCGCAGAAATCGTAAGCTTGTGCAGAAGTCCCAACACCATGAGTTCGACTGCTCTATGTGGCCATTCTCTCGCCTCACTACCATGGGTAATGCATTACATCTCCCCAGACAGCTTCAGGAGTGAGGACGGACAATAATCCCCGTACGAGGTCAGGCCACAGAAATCTTCGTGCAACTTCTGGTGGGGTCTTCCGCTGCGTCTGCACCGAAACTTTCGTGGCTCAACTTTGTATTGTGCCGATGAAATTGTAGCATAGAGCACTCAAAGCAGTTGTGGCTGAAGTTCGTTGTAGGCTTAAGACTTCTGTGATTTCCTTAATAGGTACCCATACCACGTGCGTGGCAAGGAACGGTGCAAACTCTCGCCAAATCTCATATTGCATAGCTGTGTGGAGTGGTGCGTTGGGTCGATGTATTCGCATGCTGTGTCATTCCGGCCATGACAGATTCCGAGTCTCCTTGCAGCTTAACGTGAGACTGCCTAGCACAAAGTAGATGCTCGCAACGCACTCCATCCACTTTTCATTGGGATATGCTGCTAGGTTCAGTCATGGCCATCCCCCGGCTGTGGCCACCCATCAAAATATCAACCATTAGTCCTCGCATCGAGTATACGCACCACCAACGAGCTCTAAACATGGCCAATCGCGAGCAGTCCATACAAGCAGCTATCGAAGAGCGCCCTAGAATCGCGAATGGGTATCGATTATCGAAACCGTATTAGCTACCGGCTTAAAAATCAAACCTCTCATTATTTTTAAGGGCAAGGCCCCTCAATCAACTTGGTTCAATCGAAATACACCCGATTGGGTATATACGACCTCTGAAAATGGATAGACAGCCAATCGTATTGCAATCAACTGGCTCCGAAACGTATATCTACCCGACACAAGGCCTCAAAACCACGAGGCACGAATCCTACTTATGGATAGCCATAATAGCTATGCGAGCATCGAATTCATATAGATATGCAAGCAAAACAACATACAGCTCGTATTCCTTCCGCCTTATTCCTCGCATATACTACAACCTCTCGATCTCTCTTGCTTTTCGGCTCTAAAGCGTCGATATCGGAGCCTTATTTTAGAGCTTTCATTCATTAATAATGCAGCGCTAGTTAAGAAGGAACGCTTTATCGAGTGCTACAATTAAGCTCGTATTAATACTCTCACTGAACGAGTCGTCCGGGGCGGTTAGAAGGCTGCCGGTATTGCTCCATGGAATCCTACGAAAGCCCTCGAGTCCTCGCAGCTTAAAGATAGTATACTACAACCATCTACCCCTACAAAGCAACTAAATTAGTATACCTACGAGCTGTTTACGACCCCTCAAAACCCCCACCACGTATATCGTAGCATTCAAAGCCTTTATAAGGCTCAAAAGCTAAGCCGCGAGTGCCAAATTACACTACAGAAAGCAGGTAAGGCTATTAGAAGGCTTAATGCTTAACAAGCTCAGCAGGCTATAACGATTCAACGTCAGAAAGCAGTTATTTGCGAGGCTTAGGATAAGAGGACAAGGGTTCGTGTTGTAGTTAATCTAAATAGTCAATTTGCAAATATTCATAATATCCATAAGGCTTTAGAGGAAGCTGAGCAACGAAGGCTACAATGGGAGGCACGACAGCCTGAAATCGAGGCTCAAAAGACAGCAGAAGCTTTAGCTATAGCTTCTTTTCAATCATGCCTATTAGAGTGGCAATTGGACTTGTAGTCGTGTATATATACGCTCCGACAGTTGAAGGGTTGATATTTTGATGGGTGGCCATAGCCGGGGGATGGCCATGACTAGACCTAGCAGCTTAACCAAGGCCAAGGGCAAAAGCATAGTCACTTCCAGTCCGAGAGCGGACAAAAATGTTGCACTGAAGGGGAATCGAACTCCTGCCTCACACAGTCTCATTTTATGGGAAGCGTGAATTCTACCACTAAACTATCAGTGCTGCAGACAAGCACTTGAGTCATTCACATCGTAAATAAAGCATCAATCTGAGTCATAGAGACTCGATCTATGGACGGTCTAAAGGAACATTGTTCGAAAGAGTATCGTTGATTTGCATGAGTATCACTACCCACTCATGTGACATAGTTCAACAAACATCGTTGCCCACCTAGAGCTTCTTCTGGTGTGGAGTTCACAGTACGACTTGTCGATGCCCAAAATGGCTGGCACATTGTAAGGTAGTTCACTGTACATCAGAGAGTAGACTATGGGAGACGGGAACGACAGCAGAGGTCCAAAATAACAAGAGAGCAGTAAAACAGCACAAATATGAATAAAGACGCATGTGAGAAACGCAAGAAGGAGAGGTGGAACGTAACGCGTGGATCGGAGAGAAGCCGCATTGTGTGGACGTGCCAGTATTCTTTTCCGTCGCTGTCGGGCACTGGAAGCACCCTGTGACGTGGGCAGCTCCAAGCGGTCGTTCTCGAACATCCACCAAACACTTGGACCTACCACTCGATACCCAACTCACCTCCAACAGAAACCTAAGAAGATGTCCAAAATACAGAAGACAATAGCTCGGCAGCAGCAGAAGTACTCCAAGCCCTCCAATCTCATCTCCACGGCAAGCACTAACCCGCCTCTCCAGAATCGAAGAAGGCCAATTCTACGAAGCGCACCAGCAACTGCGCGTCATAGCCTCGCGTTACGTGAAGCAAGAGAACTGGGATGCGGCCATCGACGTGCTCTCCTCCGGCGCTGGCCTCCTCCTAAAAGCCGGCCAGGGCGGCTCCGGCGGCGACTTGTGCATGTTCCTGCTCGAGGTGTACAACAAGGCGGAGCTGAAGCCGGACGCCGCGAACAAGGCGAAGCTGCTGGAGCTGCTGCGGTCCTTCCCGCCGGACGAGCCGACACTGAAGCGGTTTGTCGGGGAGATGATTGGGTATGTGTGGCATTGTTGCGCGGGAACAGTCGTGGAGTGGCACGCGGAGTGAGTCGCTGATTATGAGGCGCAGATGGTCGGCCAAGTATGGCGAATATCCCGCTGGGGATCCAGAGCTGCACCACGTCGCAGGAACACTGTATGCAGAAGGTAGGACAAGCTTTCGTCTTCGAGCCCTGCCAGGCTCTCCCTGCTCACACTCTCTCAAGACGACGAACCCTACGACGCAGAACGGCACCTTACGCTCGGCACCTCCGACTCCCCCGCCACCCTCGCCCAGCTCGAATACACCTGGTACACGTCCGACGAAACGCACACTGCGGCCCTCTACGCCGCACGCGCCGTGTTTCCCTACCTCCTCGTCGGCAACGTGCGCTCGGCCAACAAAGCATTCCTCCTCTTCACGTCCAAGCTCTCGCAGTCGCACCCGGGCCTGGCCACGCAATCCGTCAGCAGCGCGAGCTCCGACATCCGCATCTACCCCTCGCTGCCGCTGCTCAACTTCCTCGGCCTCCTGCTGCTCGCGCTGCAGCGCGGCCGCGCCGAGCTGTTCAAGCAGCTGAAGGCACACTACGCCGCGCACCTGAAGGAGCTCGGCGGCGCGTGGGACGAGGCGCTCGCGCAGACGGGCGAGATGTACTTCGGCGTGAAGATCCCCAGCCAGACGAACCCGCTCATGGACATGATGGGCAGCATGCTGATGGGCGGTGGGCTGGGCGGTGCGCAGAAGAAGCAGAGTCGCCGCGTCGAGGCGGGCAGTTCGACGCCGGTGGCGGGGCCGGCACCCGCGCTAGATTAGGGGAAGGGAGGCGAGGGGGAGTGCAAGATTGGCGGGACGGGTCGAGCTGGGAAGCAAACGTAGATACCCACTGTGAAGCAGATTTTGGTTGGTACACCAGCTTGGTAGAGTCGTCTTGACCACTGGCCTTCCTTCCACATTGCTTCTGAGACAGGAGGCAGGAGGCAGGAACTCCACTCCGAGTTGTGCTGCTCAGCTTGACGCGATTGACATCTTGTTCGAGAGCGTCCCACGCGCTTCATCCCATGCCACGTCTCGTGCAACTATCTTCCTCAGCCTCTCTACCATCTGACCTTTCTCCCACGCCACCTGCATGCGTGCACTCGACGTGCTATTGCGATGATGCAGCTCTGACGCAGGTAGTGAGCTTGATCAACAACGCAGTGCCTTGCATATGGCTAGCGCACGGATGTGCGTGTTCGGCTTCGACGAACCGCGGTCCCGAAAGATGCGGCTGACGAGCGCACAAGCCCTTCCCTAGACGGTCCGCCATAGCCACGCACCGCTCATTGCGCAAGTACTGCCAAGCGACAAAGCCGACGTGTGCGTGAACCTCGTCACCGCAGCAGCGCCGCCATCGAATCCTCCGCCTCGTACATCCACCTCTCCTCCTCCAGCGCGGCAGTCTTCTCGCGCAGACTCGTCCAAAGCGCTGCGCGTAGCTCTACTCGCGGACGGTTAGGATAGCGTCGGTTATATAGGGGCAGTGACTTGCCCTCTTCGTCTGTGGCAAACTTGTTGCCGCCGGTCAGGAAGTCGCGCGCGAGGTCTGTGAGGTGGGATTGCTCTTGTTCTCCTGGTGCGGTGGGGGGTGGCTCAGTACGTGTGTGTGGAGAGGGAGGTGTTCTGTGATGGAGGGTGGGGGTGGAGACTACTGACTTTCGTTCTCTTCGCCAAGTTCACGTTCGAGGTCCGCCTGCGGGACTTCGGGCATGGGGAGGAGAACACTGCCGCTCTCGTCTCGGTATACCATCCCTTCACATTCTTCTTCTCCTTCTTCCTCCTCTTCTGCGAGGGTCGTCTCTTCCGATTCTTCGGTTGCGACTTGAATCGTACTCGCGGCGATGGAACTCGTTGTGGGGCGGCGGCTGAGCGTATGAGCGAAGAGGTTGCGGCGAGGATTTGGGAAGGACGCAGGGTTGGGTCGAGAGCTCGCGAAGGATGTTGGAGCCGTGGTAGCCGTGTATGGGTCTGGTTGAGTTTCGACGGCGTTGCGAGTTGTCGTGCGAGATGTTGGCCGACGCGCGGCTGACGTGAGTGAAGCATGTTCTGTTGCTGGGTTTGCAGGTGCAGTTGTGCGAGAAAGGAGCTGCCGAGATGGCATTGTTTGCTCTTCTGTGTGCGCAAAGCGAGGAGGGGGACGTCTTGAAGTCATCGAATCTCTTAATGCTTCTTGTGGGCTGTGAGAGACTGCTAGACAAGGGAACGCAGACGAGAAGGGCCCGGGCGGTAGTGGTGACGGGGGTGGTGCGATATGTCGAGGTAGAGGGGGAGGAGTGGGAGACGCTGCTGTTCCTGAGTCCGAGATGTCCTGAAGCGGAAGATGGGCGAAACGCCGATGAGACCGGGATGGAGGGTAAACAATCCCCGCCGTTGATCTCCCGTCGCTGCCGCCGCTATACACTGCGGGACCGGGCCATGGAGCGTTGGACGTCAAACGCGAGGTGAACAAAGGACGACGCAGATAGACCAAGCACACAACACGACGATGGCGACGACGGGCGGCAGACATGGCTGAGTTCAGGATCCAGCCTCTTGCGCGCTTCGAGGGCAGCAGCGCTGCGATTCGCAGACCGAAGGTGAGAACTGCATGGACTTCCTCGGACGCGCCTGCAGGTCGCGGCGAGCTAAATGCACTCATATGTGCTTGTGAGGCTGACTTGATCGTCCTCAGGAGATCGCGTGCTTTTCATACGATGAGAACCATCAGCTCCGCCTCGACGACTCCTCCCTGCGATACTACTATCCTCCACGTCTCCCTGTCGACCTCTCGCAAGGCTTCGACACCTTCAAGAACCTCGACGATAACGCCGACGACCACCTCGACGCCTTATTAACGACTATCATGGAGATGGAGAAGAAGGACGGGAAGAGATGCGAAGCAGACGTGGTAACTTGGCGAGGCATGATGACCAAGGTATGAGGATGAACCGCAAGACGGCGTGCCCTACGAGCTTGGAAGCTAATCGCGCGAGCCTCTAGATCATGGCAGCGCCATTCGATTATTTCAACGACTTCGAGATGAATGCGACCTGTTTCCAAGTGGGCAAACCCCGATGAGGCACTTGACGGGCGGCTGAGCTGACATGGCAGGAAGGGCACAATGTGAGACTAGACACCGACATAAGAAACAGCATCATGTTAATCGACGTACAGCTTCCTCGAGGAGAACCACAGCTACAAGCTCGCAGAGAAAGCGGAGCAGAACAGCAAGCCACCACGCCCAGGAGCGCACTCCCAGCAGATGATGAGCTATTGGGGTCGGTGAACCTTTCTTTATTGTCAGAGTAGTAGTGCAACTGACGGCGACAATCCACCAGGCTACAAGTTTGAGACGCTCTGCCTACTCCCTGCACCTTGGGGCGAGACATCCAGAGAGTACATCGAAGGCCGAGAGAACGAAGTCGTCAGCAACTACGCCCAGTACTGCTCGGTGGTCAAGACCGGCATTGGAAACATAAGCCTAGTACTGGGCGGCGAAGTCGATGCCGGTACGTACACCCACTTCTCCTTCCTCCCCATTCAACAATGCACACTGCACAGTGGACCCCATACTCCTAAAACACACACACATCCCTGACAAACCCTTGCAGTTTGGGACACGAAGCCCACAGACCCCACCCAACCCACCAACTGGATCGAGCTCAAAACCGCTGCTGCGCCGCTCACCCCTGCCGACGCGCTCAAGCACGAGCGTAAGCTGTTGAAGTTTTGGATTCAATCCTTCTTGCTGGGCGTGCCACGCATCGTCGTCGGCTTCCGCAGCGCCTCTGGCATCCTGACGCACCTCGAAGAGCTCGACACGCGCTCCATCCCCGGCAATGTGAAACGCCAGGGAAAGGCGAGCTGGGACGGGAACGTGTGCATCAATTTCGCCGCGGCGTTCCTGGATGCGCTGAGGAAGACGATTGGCAGGGGGGAGGGAGGCGTTTGGAGGATCAGAAGAAGGGAGCGGAGTCCCGTGATCGAGATCTGGAAGGTCGAAGACGCGGGCACGGGTGGGATTCTGAGTCGCGAGTTCGTGGCGTGGAGGGAG